TTCTTGCTGCCTGCCATATGGTACCACGTGGCACTCAGTAGCTGCTGCGAGGGGGCAGGCAGCCCAGGGACACACAGCAGGCACAGGGCAGCCGTGTGCCAGGAGGTGTTCAGGTGGGGCACAGGGAGCAGAGTGCTGCTGGGAGCTCCACACGTCTCTTGCCATGCTGACATTGGGTGGAAGCAGGGCAGCAGAGGAGCAGAGGTAGCTGGTGTAATTAGGAACAGGGTGATTCTCAGGTCCCAAGAAGTATCAGCCTGGGGCTAGTTAAGGATGACAAACCTTATGCTGTGCACTGAACACTGTGTGAAGGACAACATTAAAAGGAAAACTGGGATTTCCCTCCTCCAGGGACTGGGTTAGCACTAGATCCTGAAACAGAACCTCCTGAATGGTTCCTTGAATGAGGGAGGGGGAGCGGGAGGTAGAAATCTCCTTTTCATTTCATTTTATTTTTAAATATTCCCACCAGTTTTTCTTGTGAGGATTAGCAACACATAACCCATTTACTGTCCTAGCACCATCTCAGGAAAGAGACTTTCCAGGCATTACCACAGTTTACACCAAAACATGGAAGGACCTGTTTCATTGAAACAAATAGATCAGTTTACATATAAAAAAAAATAAATACAGCCCAGAAGCAACTTTCATCCTAACCCAAATGTCCCATGGTTTGCAAATTCCATGGTAAAATACACAGTATTTATTCCTGCTTTGCCCCTCATTGTCATAAAACAGCATGGACAGCCCTGGTAGAGCTCTGCCAACTCTTGGGTGGAACCATCACAACCCAAAGGGATCCAGAAATCAGAAACAAATGGAAAGCAATACCATGGAGGAAACAGTGCCTACAGATGGGATCAAAAGCAAATCCATCAACCCTGAAGGACTGTAAATGATACATTTATTTCACTGGCTTTCATGCTTTGCAGTGATTTGGAAGTTTCTTCCTTAAATATCAGTGATAACCCACGTGGCAATGATACAGAGGAGCAGAATTACTAAAGCAGTCACTGACAACTGTCCTGAAAGATACATAATTCTGGAGACTGACTACAGAATTAGTACCCAAGCTAAAAAAGCACAACGCTTGTCTTCATTAACTAGTCTGTATTTTATATTTGAACTTTCTCTTCCAGTGTGTACAACTAAATAAAGATTGTATTTCAACTGTCCGATTTTGGGTCAAGCGAAAACATCCCAAGACTTCCACATCATAGGCTACAAGCGTGTGGAGCACTGTGTGGCGACAGCTTCTGACCAAAAATAGGGAATAATAAATACAAGCTCACAGAAAGCTAATTGGCATTCTTCCCATTCCCCCCTTTACTTGACAATATATGATATTGGACATCACGATCACATCTCTTTTCTGACAAACTCCTGTCAACACATGCCACTGATGGCTCAGCTATTTGTACTTTCATGGGAAATCCATACACATTTATGTAAGTTCTAATAGATGTGATATTAATTTGAAGTCAAACTGTGGCAGAAATATTGTTGTATGGCTTGAATGCAAGAAAGTCACTGCGAGCACTGTGCTCTTCCGACATCCACTTCTATTCCTACACAGAGCAGAAGTTTGTCTTTACCACAGACTCAATTTAGCATTATAAGCTACCCTAATAACACAGCTGAACACCAGCAAATAGTCCCTGCTTCGACCGGTGGGTTCATGGACATGCATCCCCTTAGGTCACACCAGTGATGAATGACCCCCAGCGTGACTGGTCAGAGAGATCAAACTCACAGTGCTTCTGCTGGGATATAACAGAGGATGGTACTGGCACGTCAGAGCAGCAGCAGCATCTATGTGGCTCGCTACCTTCCTTTGCAAAATTTTGCCATCTTGGAATTATTTTCCAATTCACAGAAGCACTGTGGTAAGAAGTTAGTAGCAGGCACTTACACTGAGCTGGTATCACGACCAGTAAGGAGAGTGGTGAGGGGAACGGCAGAATGAAGAGAAGCTCAGAACTCCTCTGCAGAGGAAACAACTGCCAAAAGACACTGTGCGCCATCATCATATAGCAGGGCATTAAAGCACATTATTATGTAAGAGTTGAGATTTTCCTTGTCAGCAACAGCACTGCGGGTCACCTAACTGTCAGCTGCTAACTGCTGATTTCATGGAAGGGCTCCTGCAGCTCTGTCCCAGTGCAGCGTTCCGCACACAGGAGCAACCTCTGCTCTGTTGATGAGAACTGCTCCTGATGGGCACAGATGTCACCATGGCCACAGCTGAAGGCAGAGGCTTCACATGAGAATGGCTTTGTTAAAACACTGCAATTCCCTGTGGACATCCCAGGCATCACTAAGTTGTGAAAGGTGTATGACGTGTACGACAAAGGGCAGAACAGTGCAGAAAGCAATGCTATTGCTTTCAGGAGAGCACTCTGCACTCACAACAAAGCTCATCCCAACATTATTTTTAAGGAAGGAAGGAAGATACGTGCCAACTTGTGAAATGTGGGCTGGCAGAGCCAGGACTTGTCTGTGCTGTCTGCCAGCTGAACACAGCTCAGCACTACCACAACATCAAGCACTTTCCATTTTTTCAGTCACAACAAAGATGCCTTTGTCCAGTCCCAAACAGCCATCCAATACTTTGGATTTCTGAAGGGTTCCCCACAGACAGAGATATGCACTCAGATCCCAAGCTACAGACAATGTGTTTGCTCTGTGCCACAGGATATATGCACACAGCATGTAAAATATCACAGCAGTCAAAGGAGTCTGCAAGCATGCTTCCATAAGAAAGACAACTGGGCACAAGTGTGTCTCTTAATATTCTCTGACAACTCATAATGAAATGCATCCTGCTTGCCCTAAAACACTGCAAACAGCAGACATAGAATGGCCATAACCACTCAGGAGCAGCAGAACTGCTGACGCGCGCTCAGTGTTTCACTGCAGATAAATATGGCAGCAGCAGTTGCTGCCTGCAGCCCAGGCCCAGGATCCACCACGTACACACAAAGCCATTTAAGTGCAGGGGTCCCATGTGGTACCCTCATAGCTCTAAAGCATGGCAGTGTAACAGAGCACACTGCACCTTGAGGTGCAGATCAGCAGTGGCACACACCTGTGGTTTATATGCCGATAAACCACACCAGGCTTTCAGCAGGATACCCTCACTGCCTCCACTTCCAGCGGACCTGCCAACCAGCCATCCTGGGCTTGTTAGAAATAAGAGAAACATCACAAGATTTACATTGCGATTCTTTTCTTTTTTTTTTTTTTTTTTTTTTTTTTTTTTTAAATCTGATTTTTTTGCACTGAGGAGCACACTTTCTCTCAGAGTGAGTGCCCCTGCAACTGCCATGCTTCAGGGATGGCCAAATTGATTTCATGCGGTAACTAAAACCAAGAGCATGAAGGAACAGATTGCTTAATTCTCTTCTGGAAACAGTGAAGCACATCTTTGGTATGTGACTCATTACCAGAGAAGTGACTCTGGGGTCTGTCACCTTTCAAAACAGGAGGACCGCTGCAGGGGCACAGGGTGAAGCGATGGGCACACCTCCACCAGCTGCCCCAGCTGCCAGAGCTTCCACTGGGCCTGCCCTACTGCACCAACTGATACAGCCAGCTATGGTGGTCCTCCACCATACTGCTAGTACCCAGAGATCAGTAGGAAAAGCAGACATACATTTTTAGTGTGTGATAAAACACAATGCAACACAATGTACTGCACCAATGAAATTCAAATGAAGGAGAAAAATCAAAGAGGATTCTGCACACCAGACTTTGCTGCTGAAGTGTTCTAGGCTAGCAGAAAAGAGAGCTGTGCTTATGGAGCTGCTAGCTGACAGAAAGTGAAGTGAAACTGTACTTTTTTCTTTAAAGATCTTTTTCAGTGTTTATCTTTATTAAAACTTTGCTGCAATTTGTGATTTTCTATGCATAGTAATAACTGAAGAGCTCAAAAGAAGGTTACACCAGAACAGCTTGGAGATGCCAGCTTCTTGACAAGAAAGCTGCAGAGTCATCATACGGCCTTGCTGCTGCGAGCAGCTGTCTCTCCGTGCTGCATTTCACTGAACAAAAGCACAGCAGAACGAGAACACAGGCAGCGAAGACCCAGATCTTCCCCAGTGAATCTGTTTTCACAGCTGGAGACAGAGCGCTTGCTATTCTATATACAGCATCATTGAGCTCAGGAACTCAAGTGGGCAGTGTTAAATTGCACACTAAAGCAATTTAAGCAAATGACTAATCTAAACCCTTTGCTTTCATTCCTGCTTTGGTCTTTTAAAAATGGCTTAAAAACATGAAACTTCAGACTCCATTTGTTACAAAAAAGAAGGACCAGAAGATGAATCTTGGCACCTTAAAGTAAAACCAAAGCAAACAGAACTGACAGCACAATTTCCCGAGTCGTGACAAGCTGCTTGTATAGCAGTTTGATCAGGACTTGCGGCACACAAAAAAAGCAGGACAAGTTCTTGGCTTGGAGAAGGCCAAAAGCAAGCAAAAAAAAACCCCTAACCCCTCTTTTTTTTCCCAACTTCTTGGTACCTTACCTGCTAGGCTATTGTTTTCATTAGAATTACCATGAGATTTCTACAGCCTTGCTCCTATTGCACTACGATGTACATTTTTAAAGCCACAGAGGTACACACATGAGCATTACCCTTAGATGTTATCAAAGTATTTGTTTTCAGACTACAAAGGGCACAAAGAATTCCTCACGCAGCAAGGTTCCAGCCAACGAAATTAACAGATCCCTTAGTTTGCCACTTGATTGTTCTGATTCTAAAGAATCTGATGTGCAACGTGTGACGTTAGGATCTCAAAATATTACAACGCGCATAATCACAGCCGAGAGCAAACCAAATCAGATCCGAAACAGAGATCACTGGTGACCGGTTCCAGAGAAACGGCGAACATTCTAGCACTAACAAGGGAGCCCTCCAGTTGCCTCAGGTTTGAAAACCTTTGCCAGGCGATTCGGTATGTTGTCGTTAGCAGAGCACACTCAGCATCGTACTCACCGCGGTGCTGGCTGCCGCAGGACCAGGGGTGCCACGACACTCTGCACCAACAACTGGACTTTGCTCCTCGGGATTACGGGTGACAAGGATTCGGAAGTGCTGCTGCCTCGTGTTTTGATCTGGTCTGATTTTAAACAGGCATCCCTTCCCTTGAGAAATCTTCTCTACTGAATTGCTTCTGGATATTTCTGACCCGCTCCTGCCGTTTCCATGCAATTCTGAAGTCCGTCCATCACCTGCGGGGCGGATTTCCTCTGGCCGTGGTTGGACGGGGTAGGAAGCGCTCCTCTCCAGCTGAATGCGTGGGTACCTGACCAATCTGTCCCCTTTTGTCCCGGTAAAGCCGAAGTTATACTCACCACCTGTACCACTTGCCTGCGGCTGCTGTAACTGGAGAACAAAGAACTTTTTCCCCGAGTTTGCTGACATGTCTGGCACATGCTGCAGAGACCAGCGCCGGGGCTCAGGGGTGGGAGCATTATTTTGAGCCTCGGAACCAAAGGGCAACAGAGTAACCTGAGGCACATCGGCGCTTGAAGCACGATGCTGAATCCTCACGCCGCTGATGTTCAGACCTGAAGCTGTTTCCTTTGCCTCGTTCTCATGGGCAGAGGACAGAGCATCGTCGCTCTGGTTATTAGGAGGAATAGTACGGAATATCCTACGGTTACAGCGAAGGGTTCCATTCATCTGCTGCCCCAACTCCTCCGTCTGCCTGGGTGGAGAATCCTCAGGAGTCACTTCTGGGCTGCTCTGAGAGGATGAATGGTTTTCAATGGGGGATGCATAATGCTCCCTAACATCCGAGGCTTTGCACAGGGGCGTCTCCTCGGGGGTCTCTGGGGTCGCGCACTCATCTGCAGCCTTGCGCTGGAGAGAGATCTGCATCGAGGAGCTTCTTGTGGGACGCGCGCTGATGCTGTTCAGCAGCTGGGGAATAAACATGGAGGTGCTCCTTTTCAAGGAGCCCACTTCTTGGAAATCGCTGCCACCGCCGTAATCTGCTCCGTGTCGGGAGAAAGCGTGAGGGCTGCTTCTTCTCGGCAAAGTGTGGAATGCCATGAAAAAGTCATCTTCTCTCTCCCGGTCGAGGATCTCGGATTCGGGGGCTGTGTTGCTTCGTCCAGAGCCAAAATGAAACCGCAGCCGATGGGCCATGGTTTTACAGAGAGAAGAAAAGGAGAGGGAGAACGGCAACAATTCAGGCGCTGCCAGAAGTTAAAAACCAAAGACATAAACTCCAAGAAAAAGTGTCCCATCTGCCAAACTGTTAGCACTGCAGCACTGATAGCGACAGATAGCAGAAATAGCCCAAGTGGCAAGCAGCATTCCAGGCATGATTGGGTAAGAGCAATCAGCGCTCCTACACACTGTGACATGGGGTAGGATGGTGGCAGTCACGTGGCCCGGTTCCCCCTCTCCAATCTAAGCCAGTGGGGGTTCTGTTGTTTTTTTTTAATGCCAGCGAGAGCCTGAAACAGCACCTTCCCAGCTGCTCCTTTTCCATCAGAGCGCAGCTGACCGAGGCAGCGAGCACACTCGGCGCCGCTATAAATCTAAATCACATCGTACCGCACGGCGCATTCGCACAAGGAGCAGGAAAGTTAACGGCAACGCAAACACCGCAGTTTGGTGTTAGGGCTGGAAGTCAACGCCAGATGCAAATAAGGAACAATATTTCAAGCTTAGCTTTTTGGTGTGTGTTACAGCACGAGGCTATCATGGCAGAATGTGAGTAAATTTAGCACTGTTACGCTTTCAATTTTAACTGTGCTTGTAGCACGGTTAAGTAACAAGCTCCTTGCCTTTAAAAAGCCACAACTTTCACGCTGTCCCTATGAGTGCAATGCAGCCTAAGCGAGCCCGCGCAGTCCCTTTTGATCAGTAGAAACTACAGCAAACAAAGCACCCCTATGCACGGCAGAGATTTCTCGCTCAGTAAAAACAGCAGAAACGCGCAAAATGACAGGAGGCAAAGTTCCTTTTTCAGTTTTACTGGGCAGTAAAGACGAGTGAAGACCAGGGACGGGTGTCGCGTTGCCGTTTGGTACAGATCTGTCTTAAACAGCACACAGAAACTCTGCCCATTACTGGCCGGCCTCCAGTGGGAAAGTTAGCAATACTACCACGGGCGTGATCGCAGGCACGGAATACAGTTACACTCTGAGAGCCAAGAGACCTCAGCAGCAGAACAGACGGACAGGATACATCCAACTGCAGAACAAACACCCTAAATATGTTCCCCTGCAATGCAGGAAATTGGTGACTGGGGGATCCCCGCAGCTGAAGGGCACCCGCCATCGCAATTGTTCACATATGCTGGGGAAGCACTGGTTAGCTAAAAGCACATCTACAAAAAGAGACAGCGTAGGATCAGCTCAATGCACAGACATCTGTTCCTTAGGAGGACTCTGAGAAGTGCTGTCAGCAAACCATCGGTGGCAGGTCAGTGCTCTGTCTAGATGTTTAAACCTCTGTTTGCACGCAGCTTGCTTTCAAAAGACAGAAAGAGACCAATCAAAGAGAAATGGAAGCTTCGAACATTGCAACTGCCAGCAGGCAGCACAATCCCCTATTGTTTCAAGTGGACCAGGAGCCAACAAGAAGAAAAACACGAATAGCTTCTACATAGCCACAGTGTTGTGGAACTGCCTTGTGCAAGCACAGGTGTTGATTTTATCTTATTTTTCAGGTAAACCATTATTCACAGTCTGTTTCTGATCTGAAGAAGAAGATGCACCATACATCCTCTGCTCTGATGGGGGGAGAGAAAGGATATGCTGCAGACAGGAAGTGCTCAGATAATTTAGGAATGTGAAGAAAATAAAGTTTTTTGGGGGTAAAAGACATGTAAGTGGTGACAACAAGTATTTCACACGAAATCTAGAATTATCTGCTTAGTGCCTCATTCTGTAAATACAACACGATGGAAATGTGCCACTATGAACTTGTGTACTTGTTCTCCTTGGCCAATTGTTCCACAACACTTTCTGAAAGGAAACAGCAGCTCCTCATCCCCAGGTTACAGCCTGCAGAAGCAGGATCACACAAAGAACAACCAGAAAATGGTTCAACAGCACAGTAACACTGAAACGGTCAGTTTATGGCCAGTGCCACAGAAAGGAAACCTGGAAATCCTATAAAATATTTCAGAAAAGGGTATACTGAACCTTTTGGTTCTCAGCTGTCAGTGCACAGTCAAGTTGCAGTCTTTTTTCTGGGCTGTCACCTCTTTACTGACACAGGTGGACATCCCCATGCATGCCACTGCCCTCTGCAGGCAGAATGAAATCTCTTCCATGAGCTTCTGCTCCATCCTCCACGTCAGCACAAACTCATCCCAACCACCCTTGCAGCTGCATGCATGCCATACAGGAACCACAGCATCATAGAATGGCTTAGGTTGGAGGAGATCTTGAAGATCAACTAGATCATCACCCCCCCTTCCCCCTTGGCCATGGGCTGGTTGCCTGCCATCCAGCCAGGCTGCCCAGGGCCCCATAGCCTGGCCCTGAACGCCTCCAGGGATGGGGCATCGACTGCATTTTTGGAGATCAGTATTTCCATTCTTTGTATTTTTTTTTGTTTGGAATAAAAAGATCCTCACAACAGCAGTCTAACAAGGCAAGCAGGTTCAGTAGACACTGTACTGTTCTGAACCAAGAAATCTAAGGCCTCATCTCATGAGCAGAAAAATGGTGCTCCAATTTTCAGCAGACAAAAATTAAAAGTCATCCACCCAGTGTGGAAGCCATCTCATTAAAATCGTGTATGCAGAATGTTGTCTATTTGAGGTGTCCATGTGAAAAATGTACTCACTTCATCACAACAAGAGCAACATGCAGTAAGTTTTGGGAAGACTTATCATCTCAGTAATAGTGGTTGTATCAGACAAGCGAGCTTCAAGGCTAAAAGCCCTAGTTGGATGTTACCAGGGGCAGAACTGAACACAAAATGCAGAGCATAACTTTGCTATTAACTAAAATCTTCAAGACCCACGTCTTGTGTATCTGAGCGGAGTTCTGGTTACCACATCTCAAAAAGGATTAAGTATTAAAAGGTACAGGAAAGAGATGCTCAAGTGATCAGGAGATGAAGCAGCTGCTTTATGTGCAAATAACAAGGCTAGGTCTGCTTTTCAGCTCACACCAGAGAAGCCTGAAGAAGAATATGACATGGTTTCCACCAACAGAATATTTAGCTTAAGGAGGACCATTTTGGTCTAAACCAGTAGAGTATTTCTGTGTTTAATGTTCCATTAACCCACACAATAGACACTTTGTATGCTTCAGTCTGTGTAAACCTTTTTTATGCTTCAACCATGTAAACAACAGAAAACATACACCTTGAAGATGTGTTATGTTTCCATCAGCTGTGTTGCACAGCTCTGGGAAACAACCAAGACAGGTACTCACCAATCTGTTCTCGTCAAACACTTCAAAGAGGAGGCGATGGTTGGTTGGGTTTACCTAGGAGAAAATCCAAATAATATTATTTTAGCTTCATTCACTCAATTAGAACAGGTTTATAAAGTGATTAAATGAAGGCAAACAGAACAGAACTAATAGGTTTATATAAATCCTTTGCTTCAACTGACTGGGAGAACATGAACACGGAAGCCCAGATTGGACAGAACACCAGAGCTCAGACTTCTGGGTTCCATACCTGGAAAACTCAACTAAAATGTAGGGAGCAAAAGCTTTAATTCATTTCTTTTAGAATTTAAGCATCATCTCTATTTCAGCCTCTCCATCCGCCACTGTTTCTGGCCCATTTGTCACCAGTGGGTGACACCCCGTGATCATATCCCTGGGGAGAACCCAATGGAAGGCAGAGAACCCCCTCTGCTCATGTCTGGCATACATGTCTAATACTTCTGTATCTCCAGGAAATAATTTCCTTGGAAGCAAATTTAAGCAAAGAGACAACTTTTCCAGAAAAACTTTATACGCCAGGTTATTATGTCTGCTTGCTTAATTAAGCTGCCCAGGGAGGGGTTGGGTCACCGTGGTACTGAGGGACATGGTTTAGTGGGGAAATATTGGTTGTAGGTGGAAGGTGGGACTGGATAACCTTGGAGGTCTTTTCCAGCCTTCATCACTCTATGACTCTATGATTCTAAGGAAACACTACCAATACAGGCTTACGGAGGCAGGGTCACTCATTCCTGAGCCCTGGACACCAACTGGGGTGAGTGTGAGCTGTCCTTACATACAATAGCAGTGTAAAACTTCCTGACACCCTTTCCTGTGCCATGGCCACCTCTGTGCTTTGTCCCAGAAATACTGGGAAAGGCATGGGACCAGAGAAGTGAACTTAGTGCCTGCAGACTGCGTAGCTCAAAGAAACAGGTACAGGTCAAATTATACAAATAATAAAAAATATTTATCTAAAGACTCTTCTAAAGATTTAGGCGTGTATTAAACAGTTGCCAAACCTTGAAATGCTACTTGGTACACATGTAAAAAATGAGAAGAAATTCCATCTGAACCTCAAAAAAGCACTTACAAATAACTACACTGATGGGAACTATTTAAATATTCCTATTAGCAAGAGAGATGAACACTAAGGCTATAAACAGTGCTTGATGGGTCGCTCATTTTTAACAATCTACAATGACAACATCTGTTCTCAGGCAGCTGTTTAAGATTAAATTTTAAAACCAGTGAAATTTTACCTAACCTACTTTTGTGAAAGCTGCAGCTGCAGTAAAATAAATCCATTCTTCCTCAGAAAATATTTTCAGCAACTAAGTTATCACTGTTCTCATTTCTGTTATGTTGGTTTTGATGATCACCATGTTAAATGCTCTTTTACCACTGTCAAATACTAGAAGTGATCATTTCTTATGAAAAGTCACCTATGAACTGAAATGGTATCACTCAGTTTTAAGTGAAAGCTACCTTCATTTCAGGAATAATTTGAAAAAGACAGAGGTTAAATAAAAGAAAAAAAGTGACATCGTAATTTTATTTATTTATTTATTTGCCATAATAGCTTAAATTTCATACGGTTCTTGGAAATGCTTCTGATTATCTGCTACTACACTCACATTTTAAGACCTTTAAGACACTAAGGAAGTGTCAGGATGAACATTTTTTTTTTCCATAAAAACATGTAAACAGTGAATTAAAAAAATCATACAAAATACCACGTGATTAATTGTACATTACAGGGATTGCAATTAAAAGGGAAACTTACTCTAAAATAAAATTCTTCATTCCATTTCGGATTTAGTGTCTATAAAAGAAAAATAACATATTAGGATGCTACAATATCTGCAGGTTTGCAATTTTACAGCCATCACAACACGCATGCAAGTGACAGTTTTTTAGAAAACACCAGGGAAAAAAAAAACATTTCCTTACAAAATAGCACCAACACTGCTGTCAAATGACTTAGAACTGCTCTACTAAATAAACCAAATGTGGGAAGGGATTTGAGTCAGAAGAACTGAAAATAGATGGTAAGTATAAATGAATCATATTCACAGAATGGGACCCCTCAGCCCCACCCCTGCTGTGGGCTGGCTGCCCCCCAGCTCAGGCTGCCCAGGGCCCATCCATGACCTTGGGCACCTCCAGGGATGAGGAACCCACAGCTCTGGGCAGTGCTGGGGTCTCTTGAGAAGGAGAATGAACAAAAGGGAAGGTTATTTCCTTCAAACAGACACCATACTCTTCCTAATTGCCCCCAAGCTTGCAGAGGATTATAATTTTGCTCTAATGATCCAAAGAAAACATACGGAATAAATTGTGTTCCATTTGCAACCTGAAGGGAGCTCCAGCATAAAACCATAAACTGATAAAAAATTCAAAGTAGGATCATTGATAACTGTCACACTTCAGATTTGGATAAGCTGAAAATCAAGCACGATCCGTCCCCAGGTTTTGTTTCCCTGCTGAATTGTTCCCTTGGTCCCTCACACAGCAGAGCTTAACCAGAAGAACTGCTGGGGTGAAACTGGCTCTACCCACCAGAGCTTTGTTGGAGCAGAGAAGACAATCCGAGCAGTTCATCCAGAACTTAGCACGGATGCAATACATTTAGCCAGGACACAGGGGCTCAGTGTGCACCACTTCCCTGTAGCGTGTCCCATGCACACTTGTGGTCGCAGTGCTGACAGCCCACAACCTCCCTTCTCCTTTGAGTTTGGGATGAATCTCAACCCAGCACATAAACAACGAAGAATCTGTGAATTCAAATACTGAGATTTGAAAACTACCTCCTAGAAAATCTACAGAAATAAATTATTTAATGAAAAAAGTCCAGCATTTAGAAGGACAGGGTAAGGGACAGAGGGAAGTTTCCTGCTTTTTTGCCATAAGGACCAAAAATGCATTCACTAAAGGAATGAAGCAATAAATAAAACAAATATGATGTTTTAAATATTTGCATTCGTTCACTGCTGTTGTTCTTGGCAAAGGAAACTTCTCATCTAATCTGGCAACTAGATTTAAGAGCACTACTGCTAATCAATAACGCATTAATTCTGAGTACTGCTTAACCACAATTACCAGTTTCAGGAAATAATGGTGTATTAGGCAGCACAATTTTTAGTAAACAAGCAGGTGACTATTAGAAATTGCTTTCACCTTCACCAATCCAACAATTGATAGGTCGAGCCAGAAAGTACAAGAGCTGGAATCACGGCCGAGGAGAAAAACATTTGTACAGAAAGCCTCCAGAAATAAATGGGTGAATAACTGCTTCATAAAGGATATTAGCAGGGAAACAACAACAAAAAGACTCACCAGCAAAGAGCTACGTCCTAAAAAGGGCAAGTATTGCAGAGATAAAGGACTGCCAGGAGTCAAGCTGAGTTAAATCTTCCACGGGATATTAGAACAAACACAAGGAGGGTTTTTCAACCATATAAATATACAGCAAAGAGATGCTACAAAGCAATGAAGTTTTAAGAGGAGACCAAATGTTTTTAGATGGAGGAAATTAAGCTTCACATTATGGTAAGGGCAGAAGAGCTACCTACACGAAGGTATTTGGTGCGACAAAGCTGAAATGAAGCCTTCAAAGCTCAATGCAGTCAAATTGAAGAAACCACATGGTCACCTTCCAGAAGTGACATGTCGCAGGACCAGGGACAAAAATGTTAGGCCATACCTTATAGGACTGTGAGGCCACAAATGGCAAACAGATGTCCTACTACAAAAACAGGCAAAGAGTTTTTCCAGCGTTCAATCCGAGCAAAGCTCCAAAAGAAGCAAGGCTTTGCTCAGGTGTTGCAGTTGGAGGAACTGAGCGTGTGGAGGGACCTCAGAACACCTCAGAAATGCAACATAGCCAGATCGTGTCAGAGGAATCTGAACCTTTTCTCTGATTACTTTAGCAGAGTGAGGAAGCAGTGTAGGTTGAATCCTGGTTGGCACAAGGGCAGGTCCAGCATCACAGAGGTGGAGGATGAAAGGGGAAGTGCACCCCTCTGCCTTCCTGCCAGCACTCCTGCAGGGCAGGACAGTGCCACAGAACT